CCAATTTGTATGAAAAAACATGTTAAAATATGTGGTTTAAGAACAAGTGGCCATGCACATAAATGACATGAACATATACCAAATAATAGAAAATAACTTAATTCACGTGATGATGCTTTTATAACTGGTGTATGAGAAAAACGTATAAATATCGTAATTGTATAAATAGTCATTAATAAACCTATTGATGAAAGTATTAATGCTGGCCATGCTATAACACTTTTTATAGATAAATATTCAGCTTGAAGTGTTATACAATGAGTAAAATTTGTATTTGGAATTTGTCTTTCTGAACATGGTAAACACAATGTTTCATTAACAGCTATATGAAATAATTCACACGCACGACATGTCCAACAACATTGTTGAGAATCTGTATTTGTACGTATTTCACCTGGACGACATGATTCACTACAAAATGATCGAGGTGTTACCGAACTTTCCTCCAACCATTTCGAATGTTGATGATGATATTTAAACCATTTTAATGTATCGAGATCAATACGAACTCTAATTAAATGAACAAAAAAACAAATTTTAGATTTTGTATAATATGAAAGGGAATCTTCGTTAATAATTATACGATTATACTTCAAAAAAAAAAGATCATAGCAATTATTGAGATCGTTCTTGTTTATAATTATTTGATAAGATACTTTTCTAGTCAAGAATATCATTGAACATTCATATATTTATCTCACCTTTCATTAACTTGATCATTATCACTAAATTCTCCGATTGTACGATAATTAAGTGTATGTTTACTTAAATCAATAAATTGATATTGAAATATATCATACGTTCCTATACCATCACCATTTGGTGTAAATTTAATACTTCGTTTAGATAAATCTATAGATTGAATTAGAAAAAAAATAATCTTATCAAAAATAAATAATTTACCATTACGAAATGTTGTATTTCGTAATATTGATAATAATCTTATACCATCGAATGGATAGAATTCTTTACATAATGGTTTATGTCTTGATGAATTGAAACATTTTTCATCAATTAATTTTTGTATTGCAATAACAAGAGTAAATACAGCATCAACTACATAATGAACATAACCTTCTTGAAAATAATGAACAGATAGATTCGTATATGCACTATAATTATCTAAGAAAGCAAAACAAATAAATTTTACTTCTATTAAAAAAAAATATCAAAGTAAATTATAGTTTATATTTATATCATTGGATTCAACCTTGAATAATGAATAATAATTTGAGGCAATTGTCATTTTTATGACAAGATTGCTTTTATTGTAATATGTTATATTAGCATAGAATAGTGTAGTCAATAAGTACATTATCAACACTTCGGAAATAACGTGCTTCTTTTTTTGACATTGCAAGCGCAATCATTAACGTGTGAAGATGTTTAAATAATATAAAGAAACATCATCACTATCGATTTATTTATTTGAACAATAATGCTAGAAAATTATATCTCTTTTGTTATGATTCTATGTATGTTGCGCATTATTCTCGATCATGATCGATTGTTTTCATATGATTTATAATATTAATAGAAAATAGGCATAAGCTAGAGAAAAAAAGTATATTCAACTTGTTTCCTGTTATGAAAATTCTCCTAAGGAAGGATATAACATCACTATTACTATTGTAATAAGAGTCATTGTTATTTGCATGAAGTATTTTTCAAGTATATACCTGAACATAAACGTGTGTAATTTTGATTAAATATTGTTTTTGGTGAATGGTCAAATTTACATTTATATGTTTCTTCCCAATATTCAATAAACCAAGGATTTCGAGTATTTTTTGATGGAATTAACTTAGTAAAATATTCATCAAAATCTAGAGTAGAATTGAAAACAAGAAAAATCTTATTTAGAATTTTTTTATCTACCTGCAATAGGATATAATTTTGGTGCAATTGTAATTGCATTAATTGCTGCTCGACCAAAATCTTCAACTGGATACCATTTTTTACCCCAACCATCAGTACCAAGAAAAACCCATCGACCATTTAATTCAGTTTTTGATGCTGTTTGATTAAGTATCTGTCTGTAAATCGAATTTATTCATAGAAAATAATTTAATTATATATTTTTGTTTACCTCACAGAATCTTCCTGAGCAAAAATAATAACTCCAACAACAAAACGATATTTTTCATCTTCATATAATTCTCTTATAACACGTGCATATGTATTTGTATCTTTTATATTAACTGATAATTCTCCCGAAATACAAATTGCTAAATAAAACGAATTGTTTTTTTTGTATATCTTTCAATTTCTTTAAATCATACTTTTATTTTTTAGTTTCGTTTTAAAATCATCTGTAAGACGTTCACCATAAGAACCAGTTTCTTTAATAACAGCAACATAAGTCCAATTGAGAAACTGAATGATACTTACTACCTATAGTAACAATGAAAAATCATGTGTAAATAATATTTGAAAAAAAATTAATATTTACTTACAGCTTCAGCTTGATATGTGTCTGGTGGTACAACACGAGAAAAAAATTGAAAGCGTGGTTTTTCACTCAATTCTGTGCTTGTTGATGCATAAGATATTTGTGGAATCTATTCAAACAAAGGAAAAAATGAGAATATATCAACCATAAACAAATAATACTTTCTAATTCATCTACTGATCAAACGAAAGAGAGAGAGAGTGGAGAAGAAGAAAAAAAATCATTTTTTTTTGAATAACATCAACACATTTATACAATGGATATATTATTTTATTATTAGCTAAATATTTTCAAGGAAAAAGTCTGTACAGATTCTATTCTCAAGAGAATAAACAACATAAATTTAATCAATAAGATATTTCCACAAGGAGAATATAGGTAATAATATATTTTATAATAAAAAAGAAAAACATAAATTTTATCAAATTTTTAATACCTCAGCTAGACGTAAAATATCTGCAATTGCCATTGATACTATACTCGATGCACTACCAACAACACCAGCTATAACTGATGATTCAGTTCGTTTTGTTACTGGCATACATTGATCAATAGATGGTAAAAGCATATTGAAAGCACGTTCAATAGCGTAAGATTCATAATCACAAGAATCATAGATAAGGGCACCAAAACGTATGTTACTATGAGCAAGTACGGATGACATTAAACGAGATGATCGTGTATTGACTACATCTAATGCAAATAACATTGCTTCAAGGCGTTGAATACCACGTTCACGTTTAATAGCTGTACATTGCATAGATCCCAATTCATTTGATGGTGGTTGATGAATAGGAAAAAAGCCACCAAGTATAATATCGCCTAATTTATTTCTATATAGATTTTTATTCTTAAGCACAAAATTTTTAATTACCTGGAATATAGATATAATCATAAGTTGGACTATGTGGAGCACGAAAATTTGACATGTAATGACGATTATTACCATCCTGAACACAATTGCCATTGTCAATTAAATACACAATCAATATAAGGATGATGAACAATAAAACTTTTTCTGACAATGACACGACGAACATCGACGATTGCAAATACGCGTACGCATATATAATACACGCATACGTTTTTTCACGTATTTCTTCTAACAACTTTTCCACTAATTTAAATTAATTTTTATAAAATAAGAAGTCATCCAAATATTTATCATAACACATATTATTGACTGTTAATAAAAAAAAAATGAAGAAAAAAATTGAGTAAACTTGTCGACACAAGACAAGCACACGAACAACTATGATGATAACGGGAGTAGGCGATCGGCTTGCTCTCTCTCTTCTCTCTCCTCTCTCTCTCTCCCTCTCTTTCTGTTCCTCTCTTTCATCTTCTTCTCTTCGCCCGTCATTCACAAATTTTAACAATAATCACGCTCGCTTGGTCGCTCACGTACGCACATAAAAGAAGAGAAAAATGCAGAAGTAGAAGTAAGCAACAAAAGAAAAAGAAAAGTGAAAAAAAAAAAATTTTTTTTTCAAAGAATAATAAGGTTTTTCTATTTTTCTATCTTTGCTTTTTCTACTTTAAGCTGTTGTTGATAAGCTATTCATATACGCAATAAACTCTTCCTTACTAATCATGCTCATTTTACTACTATCATAGTTAATCCTATCTTTTCTTGTCATTATTTAATATAATGATCACATTGTCATAAGCAGGTGTGATCTACTAGATAAAGTAATTTTTTAACTTTATAATTAAACAAGATTAATACTAATCAATTACTAGATTTTTTTATTTATTTTTTCTAGGCTAATAATTTGTTATAGCAAAAAAAGAAATACTCTCTTAATTATACAAAGAAGAAAATCTAGAGAGTTGTTATTTACTTTTCAAAATCTCATTTATTATGAAAATGGAATACTAAATGAAAAGAACTAAAAATAAAAATCTGAACTACTATTCAGCTTTTCCATATATATATATATATATATATCTGACTTGTTCCACTATTTTAAATATTTTTTGTCTAGGAGGACTATTCAATAAACGAAAAAGAATAGAATTATATAATTAGATTGTTTTAGAAGAGCACTTCTCTTCTCTTCTAAAGTAATACTCTACATTATTGATTAAATTTTGTTATGTGGAAAAAGAAGAATAAGAAATAGGTTTGCTGTTATTTATTAGGAAAAAAAAGATGTAATTTATAAAGCAAGAAAAATTACGTTTTTTTTGTTTTTAGACTTTTTCTTTTCTCAATAGGAGAAGTGTTTGCGTGTGAACATAGAATTATTGTTTGATTAATAATAAAAGAGAAAGACTAAAATTGTCTAAGAAGATCTTTTTGATTACATTTATTTCTAGAAGATTATTGTATGACAGTTAGGAACATTAATTAAAAAATTTTCTTTATATATAGAAAATCTACTAAAACAATTAATATATAAACATATTTTTCATACACGACAGGAACTTCATTTGTTATACTTTTTATAATGATGACAACTTTGGTACAGGAGAAATAATCAATTGAATATTATTTAAGGATATATATATATATACATTTTTTATTAGATTATGATACAGAGATAGTCTGCTATATTTCAATAAAAAATTATCGATGAAGAAAGGAATAACATATTTACTAATAAAATTTTTCTATTAAATAGGATCATTACTAATAAATTTTGTCGAAGTATTTCCGAAAGCGTCGATCATTTTTCTAATAATTTTAGTTAAAAGCCCTTTAGGCTGTGTAATTTGCTACTGTTCATATAATTAAGAGAGATTCTTATAAATACAATACGTTCAATTGGTATCAATATTGTATAAACAACAATCATTAGTTGATAATGAAAGTCAATACAAAGAAAAATGACAATAAATATAAATAAAACATAATTCAATATTCTTCGTTAACTATAGCTATTGGGAATATTTTTCAATGGTACCTAGGTAGATACTTCAATATGTACGTAAACAAATAAAAAGAAAAGAAATAAAAAAAACTATCATTTAAACGCATAAAATAAATAATTAACAACGTTTTTCTAGACATCGAAATGATCGATAGAACGTGCGTATTTTAGCAATTAAAAGAGTGTTATGTTATGACATGCTATATTTTTTCGGTCAGTTATTTATAGGCAATTCCTAATTGGAGAAGAAAAGCTCTAATTCTTAAGTTCCTATAATATAATTATGAAATCACTAGAATGTCTTTATTACTAAGAGAATATAATCCAGGACACGAATAAACACAAAAAAAAATGATAGTGATGACAAATAGTATTTAGCAAAAGGAAAAAAATGAAAGAATATATAATACTTAGTAGACGTGACAGAAGTATGAAGAAAAAAATAAAAATAAATGATAAATATTTGATTTGTAGTATGAATAATTGAACATAACTTTCAAACGACATACGTACAAAGCTTTCCATGTAATTTAATAACTTTATTGAGATCAATGATGCTGAAAATATATCTATCGTCGGATATTATCAATGACAGAAATATAATCCTTTCAAAACGAGAAAGTCTAGTCATCAATCATTTGAAATATTTCATCCGACAGGCATTATATTTTAAAACTTTTCATCTATAATATTATTATAAAATATGTCTTTCAAACACTATGTGTCGATGAAATTGTTTTTTTATTATTATTATTCCTGATTATATTTTTAGTAACTGTAATAACACGTGGAAAATGTGATCCTTCAAGCCGATTAAATGATACCTGAGCGAGATAATATCACTCATCGTTAACAGATTAAACTCTTTGAAGTTTTACATACGTGTGAATACTAATTAAAAAAAACTTTTTCCAGTCTTTTAGATGTTGTG